GCACCTGCTGGAAACCGGGTCCAGCATCCCATGAACATCGTGAATAATGCACCAGCCGGGACCGCACAAACACACACACTAATAGAGCTGTGTGTAGCGAACATGACAAAACATACCTTCCCCAACCACATCGACAGACAAACTGTGGGCTGCGCACCTGTGCCCTCACAGTAAGTCGACGTTCATTACGATGACTGTGATTGATGGTTTGGGCCGGTGCTTTTGTGCCATGAAGATTTGCTGATCACACGATTGTCTTCTTTGGTTCCTCCTTTCCTCTGTCTTTGTGTGCAGTGATGGATACAGAGACCAGAAGTATCGTGGGTCCATGGCGGGGAAAGATGTCAAAGATAGGAGGGAGGGTGTTGATGAGAAGAAATCGTATCAGTGGGGGAAGGAGGTGGAGGAGGCAGCGTTTTCGAGAGATGGTGAGGTTGGAGAGCGGAAAAGGAATCGTGGCGGCGGTGGCAAAGATAAGTGGGAGAGGGAAGATGACGATGGCAGGGAGGATGATGACAGAAGCCGGTCAAGGAGGGACAAGGGAGAAGCGGGGCCGGGGGAAACTGCGGCTCCTCTTAGGAGTAGAGACAAGGGAGGAGATTACCGAGAGGATGAGCGATACGGCAGCAGGTATCATTCTGGAAAGGCAGAGAGAGACGAGAGGATAGAGAGAGGGGAGAGAGGAGAGAGAGGGGAGAGAGGTGAGAGAGGAGATAGAGGGGAGAGAGGGGATAAAGGAGAGAGAGGGGATAGAGGAGAGAGAGGGGATAGAGGAGAGAGAGAGGCGGGGGATAAAGAGCGTCGTCATCATCATGATCATCATCATAGGAAGGACAAAGACAAGGGACATAGAAGGAAGGAGGGGTATCGGAGAGGGCACGAGCAGAGTGAGAACGAAGAGGAAGAGGGCAAAGGGGGGGAAAGGAAGGGGACGTATCACCATAGGGAGAAGTCGGAGCGAGAGACGGATGAAGAGAGAAGAGGAAGAAGAGAAGGGAGTGAGTGGGAGGATCGAGAACCGAGGCATCAACGGAAAAGTGAAGATGGAAGAGGAACGAGAAGCATGTCGAGAGAGGCATCCATACCTGCAGAAGATGGGTCGGTAAAGACAGGTGTAAAGAGAGGGAGGGAGGGGGAAGAGAGGAAACGAGACTATGCACATCCTCCAAGCGGAGATCCGACTTCTGTGGAGGAGAAATTGACGGAGAAGGACGAGACAAGCGATTGGAATGACGAGAGAGGACCGGGAGCCGGTGATGACGTGGTGGGCCTCTCGAATGGCGCGCACGTGGTGGGTAATGATGTATCTCGGAAATTTCATTGCTGTTTTTTTTTTTTAAATTGTTGGAAGGTTTTAGAAGCATTGGCCCTCTGGCTCGATGTCTCATCCAGTCTACCCTTTTGAACCTCGTCCTTCTTTTTTCTCGGTTTAATCTGTCGTCATTTGCCCTCTGTTTTGCCTCTTTTACCCCTTCCTTGTTGTTCCCTTCACTCTCGTCTCCCTCTTTCTCCTCTCTCTTTTTCAGTTGCCTCTACTCTCTGTCTTCCCCCTTCTTTTCTTCTCCCCCTTCTTTCCCCTTTCCCTCTCCTGTCTCTATCCCTTTCTCTTCTTGCTCTGAAATCTCCTCTAATCGTCCCTCTCTGCTCCCTCTTTCCGCTCTCTCTTTCTCTTTTCCCGTGTCTTTCCTCTTCCCTCTCCCATGTCTTTCCTCACTTTTCCTCCCTTCTCTTTCCAATCTTCTGTGCCGTTGCTGACCTCTCTCTTCCTTTCTTCTTACCTCCCCCTCTTTCCCTCCTTTTTTTCTTCCTCTCTCTTTCCCCGCTCTCTTTTCCCTGTTTTCCCTTGGAGTTTGCGAAAGGAAAGATGTACCTGTAGAGTCAATCCAATCATAAGCTTGAATCAGTGTGCCTGAAGTCACCAGGAATGTTTCAAAAAACATCGTCTGATCTCCATGCAGGGCATCGTCTGATCTGCATGCAGGGCATCGTCTGCATGCAGGGCGTCGTTGTTATAGATCCCCGAAGTCATGGAAAATGTTGAGGGGGGAAAAAAAAACCTGACAAGGGAGTATTTGGTTTTAACTCCTTTGTTGAACAACTGGCTGGGTTGTAACCTCTTTTGAGTCTTTTCACAAATTCACAATAAATTAAAAAGTTAGAAGACTCTCCACTGAAAATGCAGAACGGGTGAGAAAACAGAAGCAAGGGAAAGAGGTTCAAAGAACACAGCTTTCCAATTTTATTATTTTCCCCTCCCCGCCCCCAGCCCCCATCCTTTTCCCCCTCTCACGTTCTTTCTTTTTGTTTTGATTATTTGTTTTTCTTTGCCCCTGTAGTTTGGGCAATTCCTTGATTTGTGCGTGTGGCATTCGTTCGCAGTGAAGGATGGCAGATGTCCTTCCTGCTTCTCTGGTCTTCCTTAATCGAACCCTTGGCTTTTGGTCTCTGTATTTGTGATGGTGGAATGTGATGTCAGGCCGAAGAATCCCACGTGTTGAGGAGTGATAACAATGGCACACTTAAGGTGTTGACGGACGACACGTCTGCGGGATTGGGGGGGGAAGGCGACATGCCTACTACTACTACAGAAGGCAGCCTGGCGAACCTGGCGTCGCCCATGGCGGCGAAGTCTAGCAGAGATCCAATCGATATTGCAAGCTCTGCAGACAAGGTAGCCAATTCGTCAGCAGCACCTGGAGATGTAGGTGTTCCCGCGGATGCATTGCTGTCTAAAGACAATGTATCTGCCACAATGTCAGGGCTTGCTGGGCATTGGTTGGGGTCTTCTGGTCCCACTACAACTGCTTCTGCTGGTGCTGCTGCTGCTGCTTTCACTGCTGCTGCCTGTCTCGACGTGGAAAATGCTGCAAAGCCAAATGGAGCGTCTGTGGAAAGTCTGTCATATGGCACCACGGCTTCTGTGGTGTCTGCTACTGCTGCCCCGGCTGCGCAGCCGTCGATGCCATCGACATTGTCAATGTTGTCGCCATCCAGAATTGTGAAGCCTCAGGAAGGACCGTCCTCTACTGCCTCGCAAATGGGTACACCACCTGTGGAGGGAGGAGTGCCTCCCAGAGAGACGAAGACCCCTGCTGCGGGAGAAGCCACAAAAAGACTGGGTCTTGACTTAAGTGCTTTGGCAAAAGCCAAGGAGGCACTGCGACGACAGAAAGAACTGGCTGAGAAACTGAAGAAACTCCCTCAAGTAGGTGAATGACAAACTTTCTATGTTTGGCTGACGTGTGAGAACACTGTGAAGGTGTGTTTTTCTTTATTTCTGCAGACAGCATCAAAAGGTGTGACCGATTCCACATAGTTTACTTGCTTTGTTATGCTTCTGACAACCCAATCCCGCCCATCC